GATGGAAAATAGATTTAAGAACCTAGCCTTGGGACGGTTAAAAAGAAGCAGCTTTATACACCAAGCAAAAAGAATATGTAGACAAACTCCTAACCTTCCAGAAATTGGCTGCCCACTAAAAAGTATTCCGGAACAAACCCCATGGAGAGAAAAATGTAAACTAACGGTACAAATCCAGACAAATGTGAAAGGGATATTTGACAAGAAAGAGCAAGATAGTGTACATCGCAAAATGGCCACCCTCAGTTATATTGATGAAGAATACCCACAAGAACAATGGGTCAGAGTCTATACAGATGGGTCCGCAGAAAGTGCAGTTAGAAATGGTGGTGCTGGAGTGTACATCGAATTCCCAGATGGTACTAGGGATAAGTCCAGCTTACCAACCGGGAAGTACTGCCATAACTACGATGCAGAAACCCAGGCTATTAAGATAGCTACAGAGAAACTGCTAAATACCAACCTCGGCTCACAGTATGTGGTAATGCTTACAGATGCTAAATCAGTACTTGAAGCACTCCAGTCTAGGAAACTACCAGAATTGCAAACACTGCTGACACAACTCAGCGTTCAGCGAAGAGTCGTAATGCAGTGGATACCGTCTCATTGTGGAGTGCCTGGAAATGAGAAAGCTGATCAACTGGCAGGGGAAGGTGCGAAAAAAGAGCAGCCAGATGTATCAGTCACATACCACCAAAAGAAAAGAATCATTAAATCGATCAGGAAACAACCAGCCCCAGCACAAGACGACTATTTTATTATGGACAGACCAGAACAAGTCATTATCTTCCGCCTCAGAACAGGGCACAACCGATTACGTAACCACATGTACACACAATTCAAGATAGGTGTATCAGGCATGTGCACCTGTGGAAATGTGCCCCAGACCGCAGAGCATGTACTCCAGGACTGCACCGATTTTGACACATTAAGGCAAACCTTTTGGCCAGAAAGAACAACTCTATGGACCACTGAATGAACTAACAACGACAATGAAATTTATACAAGAGACAAAACTGCTGATATAGATAACTTATTTCAGGCGAACGAAAGAAGAAGAAGAAGACTGCTTTATTTGTTCTAGGCAGAATCTGTCGGCACAGGGATTTGGACAGCCTACCCAGTAAGGGCACTGCTCTCACAAAAGGACTTTGCCACCTGCTATAAGTACTTTGCAAAGAAAAGTGCAGTGAAGACCGCTTAAGGGAATCTCGGATATGGCACATTTCTGTTGTGAAGAACAATTTGTTTATCTCTGGCAATTTTTCTTGCTTGAACTCCTATCTGGATAAGAGAAATTTCTGATAAAAAGAACCATTTCTTGGGTCCCTGGTGAGTTCTCCTTATCAGATCTGCACATGTGTTAAGTTATGTACTGCTGTTGCTGAACCTTGCATTATTCCAGCCTACCTTTGTTTTTATAGGACTGAGTCAACAGTTTCTTCAGTTCCATATACATGTTGTTCATAAACCATTTGGTTACAGTTTCTTAGACCAGAAATATTTGTCAGAATGATGTGTACTTAAGCAGCTGCAATGCCGTGCAATAGTGAGCTGTAGTTTCCATCTGGGAACATTAGTGTTGGCACATCTGACAGCTGCCTTTTACTTTGCATTTTTTTAAAGAGGGCCCCACTGATATCATAATCCCCCCCCCCCTCCCCCACATATGCACACACTTTCTCTTTCTCTCTCCATTTTAGGACACAATTCTTAGAATACAGATTTTTAGATGATTAAAAACATCTAATATTGCCCCTCCCCTCCTCCTTTTTTCTAAACCCTCGACTATCCTAGAGAGATGGCAAATCCAACTGCTATTAGCCTGTTTAATTTCCAGGACCCCAGTGTTTGTGATCTTGTCCTGCCTCTAATGCCAAGTATTCTTTTTTAGGCATTGCATGTGAAAGTCAAAGCTATTTAGCCATCTCTCCTGGTGCAAATAAGTTGACCAAGTTTCACTGCCATAAAGCAGAGTGCTGAGAACACAAGCCTGATAGACCAGAGTTTTTGTTTTTAATCGTGAGATTTCTCTTTTTAGAAAAATATAAAGTAAGCAAAAACTAGTAATGCAACATGTCGATGTAAAGAATAAAAATGAACAATTTTGTGTAATCCAGTCAAAAAGAAAAGGTCAACAGTATAAAATGAACAATACTGTGTAATCCAGTCAAACAAAGCATGCAGTATAAAGTGAACAATAACTAACTGATAAAGAAAACATTTTAATATCACATGTGCAGATTCCAGCATATAATGTTACAGTCAGGTTGTATTCATTCATACTAGTTCTAAGGCATTGGACGACAGTATTATATTGTGCTGTAAGGAGACGTGTGAGTAATACCCCTTGATTCCTGTCCATGACACAAAATCTGGGCAGTACTGATTTGCTGGCCATACAGCATGATTCCCTCTTGGTCTGTTTTGTTTATTCCAAAGGAAAAGTAACACCAACAATTTTTCATTTACACCAGTAATGACATAAATGACAACATGATAATTCACTCTTCTACTCTTTTGTGTGTATGCATCTTCGCGAATATGTGTCTTTGGGATGAAGGACAGAAAAGAGAGAGAGAGAGAGAGAGAGAGAGAATCTGACAGCAACAACAACAAAATGATATGATTATGTGATAGAGAGAGCAGAAAATTGAGAGTTAGAGAGAGAGAGAGTAGTTATTCAACTGCTCATACTCATTGTATTTCAGACAGGACCATAAGCGCTCAAATCCCATCTTCAGTATCTCCATGAGCATGTGGCCAGTGGTAACACCAGTGTTATATTGGTTACTTTTGTGTGACTACCTGTATAGTGTTGATGTCTGGCAACATCTCTTTTGATATGGAGTTCTGGTAGTCTCCTTGAGGTTGCTGATTCACTGTTGTTTCCTGAATCATCTTTATGACCTGCCTGCTTAAGAACAGTGAGAACATTGGTCTGGTCCATGGCTTTTCCTGTGCCCATTGCAGACCTGTCAAAGCCATTCCACTTGTTCATTTCCTTTTACACCAGAATGTTCTAGCACCTTTATGATGAGAGAGAGAGAGGGAGAGAGACAGAGAGGGAAAGAGAGAAAGACAGGGAAGAAAGAGAGAGAGAGAAAGAGAAATAGGGAGAGAGAGATAGAGAAAGATTGAAAGAGGAAGATAAATAGAGAGAACATGAAATAGAGAAATGGAGGTAGACAAAGAACTTGCATGTCTGTATATGAGCGATGTTATGCAGAGGCCTTTTTTAAAGGCCAGAATCACACTGTAAAAATTACCATGGCATACGTAATATTGAATGTAAAAAAAAAAAAAAAAAAAAAAGAATTTAATAGTACATAACAGTTAGAAATATCACAAAGGCGAGAAATGTATGCAATATATCAAATCATGGAGTCACTTTCAGAAACTCCTTGTAGTGGCTCCAAGCCCCAGGTATACGAAAACATGAGTAGACCCACTGCCTCCCTAACAAGCATTTCATAAGAGTTGACTAATTAGGGGTTGCCTTCGAAGTGCATCTATACCCCATGTGGACTGGGATTAGAGATCGGCATAGCCATCAGGCATGAGAAGCACACTGGATGCACAAGAAGTTTTGTCAGCCAGCATAGGGCTGGGACTATCAGCTGCGGGATGCTGATGTTTATGTTGAAGGGGGAATCTGAGCAATATGAACATGTCCGGCGCGCCGCAAAGATAATCCAAATTATAAATCCCATGTGGGTTCTGGGGCACATACAGAAACTGAAGCAAAGATTCACATCTGACATAAAGTCACATTCAGTAACCGAAACAAAGATTCACATCAAACAAAGTCATATTCAGAAACTGAAGCATAGGTTCATACTTTAGATGAAGTCACATTCAGAAACTGAAGCATAGATTCACATCTGACATAAAGTTACATTCTGAAACTGAAGCATAGATTCATATCTGACAAAGTTACATTCTGAAACTGAAGCATAGATTCACATCTGACACGAAGTAACATTCAGAAACTGAAACACAGAATCACATCAGACAAAGTCACATTCAGAAACTGAAGCATAGGTTCAATATTTCAAATAAGGTCACATTCTGAAACTGAAGCAAAGATTCATATCTGACATGAAGACACATTCAGAAATGAAGCATAGATTCACATCTGATATGAAGTTACATTCTGAAACTGAAGCATAGATTCACATCTGACATGAAGTAACATTCAGAAACTGAAAAACAGATTCACATCGGACAAAGTCACATTCAGAAACTAAAACACAAATTCACATTTGACAGTGACATTCAAGAACTGAAGCATAGATTCAGATCTGACAAATTTACATTCAGAAACTGAAATATAGATTTGAATCTGACATAAAGTCCCATTCAGGAACTGAAGCATAAATTTACATCTAACATAATGTATGAAACAAGCATAATTGTAACTGCTAAACTAAAATTGTTTAAAGTTTAGGTTCAAATTAGCCAGTAAACATTGGTATAATTAATAAAAAATGTATCTAAAGAAATGTATAAATAAATAAATAAATAAAAAAAAAAAAACATGTAATTTAAAAAACATAAACAGTCAACTCCAGGTCACCAATAAGGTAAAGAAATAAAGGACCCTTTTCACAATATTTGTGTGTTAAGCATATTATGCTAGATCTAAATATTTATTGACCAATCAACACTTGCCAGATGAAGTGGCCAACATTATGCTGGCTGCCTTTACTTCTCAAAATATTTATGTGTTCCTATTTTAGGCTAGTTTTAACAATTCACCTAGATTCGGCTTCCAGTGTTGTGCCAACTCACTCACTTTTTATGTACTTATACATATATGCATTTAATGTTGTACTGTACAGGCCATTGTTTGACAGGATAATGTCTTCAATTTGAAAAGCAACAGTTACAACAACAACAAAAAAGAAACACTGTAGAAGCTCTTTATGCCTTTTGATGCTGTTTTCCAGTCAGGAAATGGAGTAACTGTCTCCAGTAATACTGCTGATGCAGTTGCTTCAGGGCAAAATATCCAGGTACTCGTGCTGGTTGGAGAGCAGATCATCAGTCAACAGTTTATAGATTTCTTTCATGGACAGTCTTTCCTGTGGGGACACTCTCCAGCATCCAAGCATGACTTTATACACTGACTCTGGGCACTTGTGTGGGCGTCTGAGATGGCGGCATCTTTTTATGTGTTCAATGACCTGTACCACATAGAATGCTGATGGTTAGTAAAGACTCGACCACAGAGAATGTTGCTGATTAGTTAAGGATGAGCAGATTCACCCATAACCCAATCACTAGTTGATGGGGTACCATGATGAAGATCTGTGGCTTAGAGGTCCTTTGCCAAACACAGTTAATATTATGTAGAACCAAAAACATTTCACGTAAAACTAAGCTGCAGTTGTCTAGAGCACTGACTATTCATTTAATTATGGTTGTGAAACATGGACATTAACAGAGAAACTTGAAAAGCATATAGAAGCACTGGAAATTAGATTTTTCCACAAAATTCTTTGCATGTCATACAGAGTCTACATAACAGATGACGAGGTTTGCCGTTTAATTACCCAACACATTGGTAACTATAAACCTCTCCTAATTACAGTGAAAAGAAGAAAAGGCTATGGTATGGACATGTAATAATGTCTAATGGCCTCTCAAAAAATGATACTATGGGGATCAGTAGAGGGAAAGAGGAGAAGAGGTAGACCAAGAAAGACTCGGATGCAGAACTTGACTGACTGGCCAGGCATCCAACCATGAAGTCCATCACATCTAATTGTCAAAGATGGAAGGAGCTAATTAAACAGTCAACAACAACTAGTGATGCAGCGACATGTAGTGTTAGGGGACGAAGATGATGATGATAAATGAGTTTACCATTTTCATGATCCTCAAGTACAAGGGTTCGATTTCTGGGGTGAATGGTTTATTTATTTATAAATTATTTTAAACATTGCTCTCGTGGATTTTGGATGGTTGTACAAGAATCAATGTGGAAGAGATCGGGCCTCAACACATAATATTTCTAAAGGCTGTGGTGGGTTCACCATGGCGAGTCTTCATTTTGGAAACCCAATGGAGAAAATATCAATATGTTGATGAAATACCACAGTAGTTCTCATGACAAATATATAAATTAGTTTGCTAATCACCTCTCCAATGTCATTCACATCTTTATAATTGACACAGGGCTCAGAGGGTGATGAAGTCTTATATACGTACCAGAAAATGTTCTGAGAAGTATAGGCGGCTGGCAAGATGTTGACCACATCAACTTCAGAGTGTCCTTGAGACGATCCTTCACTTGCCTCCTCCCCAAGGTTATTGTAAATGTAGTGGATTCAGCAGATTGTGTGGATGAAACCTTGTGTAGTTCAGCGGAGGAGAAAGCTACTGACAGCACACTCTGTGGAGAGCCTTGAGCGTGACAAAGCACAAAAGATGACCCGGTCATCCACTGAGCTGAAATTCAGCTCCAGATGTCTCACTTCATCTTGCTACTGAACTTAGATGAGTACAGGTGAGAGAATGAGGTCTATGAACTTCCGTAACTCTTCTTCACTAAAATCAAATTCGGACATAACCAGACTATGACTGGCACCATTAGTATTGGAACTCTGCGCTGGCTGCTGAGGATGGGGATGGAGCAAGTATGGGAATGCCCCGAGTGCTGTGATGTCAATTCTTAGCTCAGCTCAATTCAACAATCAAATTCATTGTGCAAGTCATCCTTTCGAAAACTCACTGACAAATCCTACACTCAATTTTTCCATGCCAGGATTGGACTTATCAGCCATCTGCTCACTCATAAAGTTAACTTAAAAATGGAAATGGTTTGACCATCTGATGAGAATGGCCTGGTTCAAACTACTGCAAAGAGCCATGCTGAAGATATATAATGAACACAGAGCAGGGGAAAGACAACGCTAAAGATGGAAGATGGCATCAGGAACAACCTAGAGGAACTGAAGATCAACTTACACATTGCATTACAAAGAGTAGACAGACGTTCCTTACATCTCCACAAATGTTTTGATGAGGTAGCTGACGGAAGAGAAGCAGAAGATATATAGTTTATATTAACTGTACTTACAAAGACACACTGACCATTTTATATCAATTAATACAATTTCATAATCATTTCAAAATGATTAGTGATGCAACTAAAATTCTCATACACCATATGTTTAATCAACCAGTCAAATCACATACCTCACAATTGGAATATTCAAACCATGGCTGTCTTCCATAGGTAAAAACCTCCCATAGAGTAACCCCAAAACTCCACACGTCAGACTCAACAGTGAATGTTCGGTATAACACACTTTCTGGTGGCATCCATCGTATGGGTAGCATGACAGATTCTCCCCCAACCTGGGCTCCAAAAAAAAAAAAAAAGGACAAGAACATTGTACGATAATACTTTTACATCTCAGTAATGTTTCTGGATAATGGTTATATGTCCACTAATTTACAAGAAATTGTAATATTACACTACATACTTCCACGGCATTTGCTTTTGCCTATAGAAGAAAAAAACGTGCTAGTACTTACCACAAAGTTTATCCAAAAAACAAACAAAAATTTGCTGGTACTACCAAGAAAAAGTGGTTATTACAGTAAAGCTGAAAATCTAGAGCCTACAAAACACACACACACACGCACACACACACACACACACACAGTCCCACTCACTCACTCACACTCACTCACTCACTGACACTCACACACATGATGCACGCACATTCTCTCTCTCTCACACACACACACACACAACAAACCATTGCCTACCATCAGAAAAAAAAAAGCAATGCATACTTCTATATGTCACAAATTCCTAGACTACAATTTGGTCTTTTACTTGATAAGTAATTGCAGTAATGCATACATTTACATACAAGCAATGCTTTGATTAAAGGTTAGTCTTTTTTTTTTTGCATAAACTGAAATAGTACATTATATCAATTTAATTATAAAACATGCAGTATGACACATATTTTATAATAAAATTTACTGTATACAGAAGAAATGTCAAGAAGAAATGATAATAATTTAATAATGAAAAAGGTGAAGTAGAAATTGTACCTTATAATAATCTGTATTGTAGACATCTCTGGACATGCCAAAATCCCCGATTTTGACCACTAAACCAGCATCCACAAGACAATTTCTAGTGGCCATGTCTCTGTGAATGAAGTGCTGGGAAGCCAGGTACTCCATCCCACTAGCGATCTGTCAGGATAAATAATATGCGACAACAGAAACTCATACATTAAAATTGTATCATCTGCTCTCGCATCTGGTTTCATACTATACCCCATGCATAAATTATATGTGACAAGATAAAATCATACACTGACATTGGATCATCTGCTCTAACATCTTGTTTCATACTATACTCTATGCATAAATCATACGTGACAAGATAAACTCATACACTGACATTGGATCATCTGTTCTAGCATCTGGTTTGATAGTATGCCCCATGCATAAATCATATGTGACAAGATAAACTCATACATTGACATTGTATCTTCTGCTCTAACATCTTGTTTCATACTATACTCCATGCATAAATCATATGTGACAAGATAGCTCATATACTGACATTGGTTCATCTGCTCTAGCATCTGGAACAGTGTCTGCTCTAGCATCTGTAACAGTGTCTGCTCTAGCATCTGGAACAGTGTCTGCTCTAGCATCTGTAACAGTGTCTGCTCTAGCATCTGTAACAGTGTCTGCTCTAACATCTGGAACAGTGTCTGCTCTAGCATCTGGAACAGTGTCTGCTCTAGCATCTGTAACAGTGTCTGCTCTAGCATCTGTAACAGTGTCTGCTCTAGCATCTGTAACAGTGTCTGCTCTAGCATCTGTAACAGTGTCTGCTCTAGCATCTGGAACAGTGTCTGCTCTAGCATCTGTAACAGTGTCTGCTCTAGCATCTGTAACAGTGTCTGCTCTAGCATCTGTAACAGTGTCTGCTCTAGCATCTGTAACAGTGTCTGCTCTAGCATCTGGAACAGTGTCTGCTCTAGCATCTGTAACAGTGTCTGCTCTAGCATCTGGAACAGTGTCTGCTCTAGCATCTGGAACAGTGTCTGCTCTAGCATCTGGAACAGTGTCTGCTCTAGCATCTGGAACAGTGTCTGCTCTAGCATCTGCAACAGTGTCTGCTCTAGCATCTGGAACAGTGTCTGCTCTAGCATCTGGAACAGTGTCTGCTCTAGCATCTGGAACAGTGTCTGCTCTAGCATCTGGAACAGTGTCTGCTCTAGCATCTGCAACAGTGTCTGCTCTAGCATCTGGTTTCGTGCTATAGGCCATGCATATATTCGTATGTGACAACAAAAACTCATACACTGAAAGTCTATCATTCGCACTAACGCCTAACTTAATAGCCCATGAAATTTCCTTCTGGTAATTTGGCAGAATATGGTTGACAATGAAATGCCTACAACCTATTACCCATCTGGATACTACCAGTCAGTATTTGTGTGCTGAACGTGACCTTTTACTCTGTTTACTCAACTTAGAGAGGGGGATGAGAACTCCGCAACAGCTACCATTGAGACAGTATTTTGATCTAAAGTCAAGAAAAACAGTGATTACTCCAAATTTACTCTAAGTGCAAGTGTTTCCTGGAATCAGACAAACTGAACACTGAGCTTATTAGCTGAAATTCACTTCTCCAGAGAACAAATTTTTTTTTTTTTTGGTATTTTTGGCAGGGGTTGTTTCTACAAGATGTCAGGTTGTGTCGTTTTTTTTTTTCAAATTCAGTCGTTGATGATTAAATAGACAGAGACAATGATGATAGGAAGACATAAAGACAATTTAGAAATAAAATTTAAAAAAAAAAAACACTCTGAGACAAACAGAGGAATTTAAGTATTTGGAAGCAATTTTCACATCCGACGGAAAACTAGACAAAGAAATTAGCTCCAGATGTGCCAAAGCTAATCAAGTAATGGGGCAACTATCTTCCCCATTGACACAGATACCTCAGAGTACTAAAGTGAACTATTTTTTGGCCAACACTATGCTATCAATGCTAAACGTGGACACTTACATCCTCCAATGAAAGTAAAATTGTGACAACAGAGATGAAATGCCTTAGAAGAGCTGCAGGAGTTTCAAAGAAAGACAGAATACGAAATCATGAAATCAGAAAAATGCTAGGAATAAAGCCAGTCTT